GCTGTGTGACCTCGGGGAAGTAACCTGCCCGGCCTGGGCGCAAGCTTTCACAAATGCAAATGCCGGTGATAAGACTGCCTTCTTGGAGCTGCGGGAGACCAAAGGGTGAGTCTGACAGAGAAGAAGGGTGCAGCCACCGAGCACAGGTTGTGCTGAGACAATCCAAGCACTTTCTGCATTGCTCCCGGAGGCCATGCTGGCCGAGAGAAGGTGCACCTGTGGGCTGGCAGCGTGAAGCGATGCTGGTGCTGCTGGTGAAGGGCATCATGCTGATAGTCCTGGGCGGGTTGTGGGGATACTTGCCACAGCAAACCCCAAACAAACACCCTGCTTTTGACATTCGAATGGCAGAACCAGCCTGTTTCCCCAGAGACAGCCTTCCAAAGAGTCTGCCATCCGCCACCCCCTGGCCTGCACCCGTCCTCCGTCCTCCGAGGGCCTGCTTTAGGAAGCTCGTTAGGCAAACGTTTCTTCTCTTTTGAGGCTTTTATCACCGCAGGGCTCCATGGGAAATATCTTAGCTAAAGCTGTGCCTTAAGACACCCCGATGTTAGATCCCAGGCGGTGCCTTTTCTGAGCACATTCCCCTCTGGGCGTTGCTATTTTTAAAGCTCAGCACAAGGTTGAAAGGGAGTCTCAGAGTTGGACATGTGAGAGGCGAGTTCTCTCTGCCGAGAATGGAAATGCTTGCTCCTATTCATTCCAACAGGAGTTCAGCTTTTTGCTGACCAGCCACCAACCACCTCCCTCCTCTAAGTCTTCATAGCAGGGACATTTATTAGTGTTTCTTTCCTTTTTAAAAAAATATATTTTTTATTGATTTCAGAGAGGAAGGGAGAGGGAGAGAGAGATAGAAACATCAATGATGAGAGAGATTCATTGATCGGCTGCCTCCTGCACGCTCCCACACCCCCTACTGGGGATTGAGCCCAAAACCTAGGCATGTGCCCCTTGTCCAGAATTGAACCTGGGACCCTTCAGTCCGCAGGCCAACGCTCTATTTGCTAAGCCAAACCAGCTAGGGCTATTAGTGTTTCTAAAGAATCACTCCATTTACCTGACCAGTCAGAAACCTGATATGTAAGGGCGTGCAACCCGAGATCCCAGGGGAGACCCGGTGCTGTATATTCACACCCGACTCTTCTGTGTGTTTAAGGCCTTCAATGGAATTTTCCACTATTTCAAAAATGAGATAAAAACCCTGGGAGTTGCTAATTTTAAACAAAGAGGGTTTGGAATAATTTCATTATCTCTTCTCCCCCCCCTCCCCCCCACTTCCTTTATGCTCAAGTTCTTTCAGGTGGTGAGATAAATGACTAGATTTGCACCTGGATGTTTCCTCTCAGAGATCTCAGAGGGAGGGCCCTCTCTCTTAACCTGTTGTTGTCCTAGCACAGCTGCTGCAAAAATAATTGGTTTTCCTAGAGATTGCACATTCAAGCCGGGGCCGTTATGGAGGATGCCGGCAGGTGGGGAACCCATCACAAAGCGAATCTGCACACAGAGCAACGGCCTCCAGCCACAGGCTGTGTGGACCAGTGATTATAAAACAGGAAGAAGCCCTGGCCGGTGTGGAGCGTCCATCGTCCTGTACACCAAACGGTGGAAGTTTGAGTCTCTGGTTAGGGCACATACCCAGGTTTTGGGTTCCATCCCCAGTTGAGGCACATGAAGGAGGCAACCCCCCCCCCCTTCCTCTCTCTCAAATCAATAAATTAAAAAAGTAAAAATAAAAAACAGAAAAAAGAGCATAATTATTGTAAATACTAGTTGGAAAGAGGCACCCAAACATGGACTTTTGAACCAAATGGGTTCAAATCCCAGCTCTGCCCCTGACTGACTGTGCAACCAGAGACGAGTTATTTAAGCTCTGAGCCTCAGTTTCCACTCTGTGAAATGGGGTTAATGTTGGTCGAATTCACGTCAGGATTAAATCAAACAGCACATGCTTGCCTTTGGTCTTCTGGGTCCTAAAGTTGTGCCTTTTCAACATACAGAACTGCCTTTTGGAGTTACACATTCTTTCCCTTTACTCACATATTCTTTGACCCTGGTCAATTTTGGCCCCAAGACGTGGGTTTGGGAGGCACTGTGGGTTTTAAAACTTAGATTAAACTAAAATTGACTGCGGACGACTTAGGTGGATCTGATAGCCTCTGGCTCCCCACAGACCCCACCACTCCTTAGCAGCGGTTCTCAACCTGTGGGTCGCGACCCCTTTGGGGGTCGAACGACCCTTTCACAGGGGTCACCTAAGACCATCCTGCATATCAGATATTTACATGACGATTCATAACAGTAGCAACGTTATAGTTATGAAGTAGCAACGAAAATAATTTTATGGTTGGGTCACAACATGAGGAACTGTATTTAAAGGGCCAGAAGGTTGAGAACCACTGCCTTAGAGCCTCACACCAGCCTAATTCATAAGGACCTCCTGGCCCTGCAAGCCTGGGAGTTTTAACCAGATCAAGAATGTCTCCTTTAGCCCGACTGGCATGGCTCAGTGGCTGGGCGTTGACCTATGAACCAGGAGGGTCAATTCCCGATCAGGGCACATGCCCGGGTTGTAGGCTCGAGCCCCATTGTGGGACGTGCAGGAGGCAGTCAATCAGTGATTCTCTGTCATCACTGATGTTTCTGTCTCTCTCTCCCTCTCCTTTCCTCTCTGAAATCAATAAAGAAAAGTATATTTTTAAAAGTTAGAAAAAGAGAATGTCTCCTTTGTACACATTGGGGACGATTCGAATTTAGTTGCCCGCTCCCTAAGTGACTCTCGGAGGCCCAGGAGGTCCAATTTTATAATAAAGTTGAACTCCAACTGCTCAAATCCCAAGGAAACCGGGGGAAGCTAGAGTGCCCATTCCGTTTTACGGGGTCCTTAGGAAGCCACCGCTTTCATGATTTCAAATCCCTGAGGCAAATGGGAAGCTGAGGCAGAAGGTGGCAAAATGAATTGCTTAATCCCGAAGATAATTCCAGAGGCCCAGGTTTTGGCCTGTCCATTGGCTGTAAGTCTGCAGGGGGCTGTTGTCCCACAGACAGAGCAGGGCTGGGGACCACACCCACCTAAGCTCTCAGGCTAATCCCACCAGTGGATGACCCGGCAAGTCCTCCATTCTTGCAGAGCCTCAGTCTGCCATCTGGGGCTGCCTTGGAGGGTAAGCACATGCACCCACCTGTGTACGGAGCACTGAGGCCCAATCAAAGGCAGGACAGGGGCTGGCCTTGCACTAAACTTTGGGAGGTGGGTTGGTTCACTGAGCGGTGTCTTAATAGATGAACCCCACTTTCTGGGGGTTTGAACTCTGCTCAGACCCAGTGTCTCAGGCACACTGTTGATCTTCTTTGTTTTGTTCTGTTAAACCTCACCCAAGGATATTTTTTCTATTGCTTTTTAGAGAGAGTAGAAGGAGGGAGGGAGGAGGGGGGAGGAAGGGAGAGGAGGGGGGAGAACGGGGGAGGAGGGGGGCAAGGCGGAGGGAGGGAGGGGGAGAGGGGGAGAGAGAGAGAGAGAGAGAGAGAGAGAGAGAGAGAGAGAGAGAGGCAGATGAGAGAGACACATGGATTGGTTGCCTCCTCCATGAGCCCGCCCAGGCCTGGGAATGAACCTGTAACCCAGGTATGTGCCCCTGATCAGAATGGACC